CGGTGCAGTCCCAAGGAGAGCAGCAGCCAATCCCAGAGGGCGCTCTGGAGCTGGGAGAGCGCAGGAGTTCCATCCAGAGCTGGATCAAAAGGGCAGAGCCCTTATGCCCTTCCGTAAGTCAGTCTCTGAAAACAGGTTCCCCTGGGAGGAGCTGTGACTTTGGCCAAGGCAGTTTTCTTCAGCTGAGCCAATCCCCAAAGGACAGCTGAGATTGGTCTTCCTGTAGTGTTCCCAGCATCTGAGAGAATAAGTCCTTCATTCCTCAAAGGGGATCACAGCCTCCACTGCAAAGATTAAATAGAATAATACACATAAAGCCCATAACACAGTACCTGGCATGCAGTAAATGCTTAGTAAATGATAGCCATTACAATGGTTTTTATAACCGTTATTTACCAGGTACTGTGCCAGAGGCAGGGGACACAGTGGTAATCAAGATTCTTCTCCTGTCCTCAAGAAACTCAATCCATAAGCAAATTAAACCATCAAACAAGCAATTGCAACGCAGTGCACTTGATAGGGTGGCCCAGGATTTGTATGGTAGCATCTAGAAGGGGTACATGGACCAGACTAGGAAGGTGAAGGAGAGCGATGCTGAAGGTAACGCCTGGAGATGAAGAGGAGTCAGCCAGGCAAAGGCGGTGGGAGGAATTGGGGGCAGGGGCCAGGCAGGTGGAGGCAGTAGTGTGTGCAGACAAGAGAAAATACAGTGTTTTTTTTTTTCAGCAGGGCCAGCACGGAGTGTGCACCAGGGGGAGAGAAGAAGAAGGGGCTCGTGCACACCAGGTCAAGGAGAATGGACTAGGATATACAGAAGATGGGGAGCCATCAAAGCATCCTAACCAGAGAAAAGACATGGCCTACTTGTGCTTGAAAAAGTCACTCAGCAGCCATGTCAGCAATGGGTTAGACATGGACAAGATTAGAGGCTGTTGCCAGGGTCCAGATGAGAGATAAGGATGACTTGGGTCAGGCTGGTGGTACTGAAGAAAGAGAAGAGCACACAGAGTCAGAGAACATTGAGGAAGTGGAATCTACAGACTTGGTGATGATCGGATGATAAGAGAGAAAGGAGACTCTGGGATTTTGTTTAAGCTTCTCATCTGGGAGAATGAACTCCAGAAAGCCTGGTGTCTTCATCCAGTCAGGCTGCTACAACAGAATACCATAGCCTACGTGGCTTGTAGACAGACATGTTCTGGAGACTGGGAAGTCCAAGATCAAGGCATCAGCAGATTTGGTGTCTGCTGGGGGCCCACATCCCATTTCAAAGATGGCTGCCTTCTCACTGTGTCTTCACATGGTGAAAGGGGTGAGGGAGCTCTCTGGGGTCTTTTTCTATAAGGGCACTACTCTCATTCATGAGGGATCCGCCCTCATGACCTAATCACCTCCTGAAAGCCCCAGCTCCAAATAGCATCACATTCGGGAATCGGTGTCAACACAGGTGGTGGTGGGGCGGGTGGATACAAACATTCAGTCCGTAGCACCTGGGAAATGGGTGTCCCAAGACTTAGAGAGGAAAAAAGCCCACTGAGGACTGACATGCTCCTTGTTATTCTGCATGGTTCAAAAAAGCTTCTTCAAGCCAGCTCTTCAAGGCTTTTGTCTCCATTTTAGACAAACTCATTTGAAGTGCCTGGGGGAGTACAACTCCCCCATGAGAAGGAGCTTTGTTGATCCCAGAGGAAACGGCTTCCTCCCCGCTTTTGTTTAGCAAAAACAAAACAAAACAAAAAAGTTCCGCAAAGAATGCTCTCAATTTAAATTGCAGTTGTAGTGGAGAAAGCAAATTGAGCAAAAGAAGAAATAGGAATAAAAATTCCCTTTGGATTCAATCTTCAATAAACATCGATAATTACTGAATATGAACTCTGGGCCCAGCCTTGTGCTCAGGGCTTTAGATTTAAGGAAGAATATGATAGACACTGACCAGTGAACTTGAGGGTCCATGTCCTTCAATGGTCATATTTCTTATGGTAAATTAGTGTACTAGCATTTGGGTTTATACATCAGTCTCCTGTGTGTTTGGTGACCTATGTCAGTCTCTGGGGTTTAATCACCTCTGTGTTTTCACAAACCTGAGTTTTTGGACTTTTCGAAGCTGGTGAACAGACTATGTAAATTGAAATCATTCAACTGGAAGTGATTCTGGGCCTCTTTTAGCATTGCTCCAAAAGGACTGATTTGAGGGCAGGAAGACACAGGTGCTGTCTCCCAGGGTTCCAAGGTATTCTCAGAATTTGAGTTAAAACATTGGGCCCAATAGTCCAAGGCAACGTCTCAGAATGTTTCTAGGGAAGGGAATGAATCTGCAAGCTTAAGGACCTAAAGTGGAACCTCCCAAACACTCTCCTTTTGGGAGTACATTCTCTCTCCTCAGAAGAATTGAGGTGCTTGGTTGAGATTACAAGTGCAACCACCAGCGAATCAACCAAACAAACATTTTTCATGATTTCGATTTCATCCTGACTTCCCAAATGAAGGTCAAGATTTAAGATAGCAAGAACTGACCTCTAATAAGAAAGACCAAACCCCAAAGAACGATTTTTCTTTACAGTTGTTCACTGCAATGATAGTTTCTATATCTGAGATACGAGGGTCAAGAGCAGAAAACCATGGGCTGATGCAACCCTTCATTCTTCTTCAGGTTTCAAAATGCAGGCAGGTGGATTTCCATGGGCACTCCCATTTTCTTACTGGCTCGGTTATAGCGTCAGATCAACACTCCAGAGCTCTTAAGCCCGTGCAAAAAAGGTGACTGACACGTTACTGAGGGACACCAGTGTCCCGAGTTATCAGGATAAGGGGAAACACAGGGGGTGGGGGCGAGACCCTAGTTTAAAATCAGCGACTTTAGAAAAGGCTAACGATGACTTTGTTTTTATAGCAAGGACTCCCAGTCCCCGAGAATGCTCACGCGGCTGCACGAACAGGGAGCGAGTCGGAAAACCAAAACCAGCCCAGGACACACAGACACACAGGCGCTCCC